CACTCTACATAACATGGCCCTTAGCATTATATTAGAAGAGGCACAAGAGTTAAGAGAGAGAGAGAGAGAAGAGAGAGGGAAAAAATAAACACTTGTCCAGAAAACAACAGCCAATAAATAACTAGATTGCGATATATATATCAATCTATCTTTATATGGTATTATTCAAATCCTCAAGGTCCAACAAAATAAATAACGCAAGTATATTTTAGCTTATGTTACATCTACTAATATTAATTTGTCCATAAATTATTATTCTTAGCTTCGTTAGATCTGAACCATAGGCATACAATGCATTTATTTGGATTATTCAATAAAATTAATTAAGGTCCCTTTCGTACTTTCCTCAAACGTAATTCCAAGTTCTGCATATTCCAAATGTTGAGAATCTTTTATTCGTCCATTTTATTTGCAAAATTTTACCAGAGAGAAAATGATTAATTTTAATTCATTTTTTTTTTTTGTTGAGTTAAACAAATTTTTTTAATTGCTGCATAAATACCCACATCTTTGTGTCAGGGTTAATGAGCAGATTTTCGAATTTAGCTTTTATTCGCAACTACAGTTTTGAGCACTTCGACACACACTTAACCAGATTACTTTGATTTATGGCACAACCCGATGGCTGCCGATATCAAATTTTTGTTTACATAACTTATTTATGTGTTTTGTGAAGGATAGCAAATATTTAGTTTGGCTCATAACAGTGTACATAAGTCAAACATTACATAATCTATTTAAAATCATTTATAACATTGCATGGCAAATGGATGAAAATGCCACGTCCTTTTAATATTCTCCGAAGATTACTTATGAATGCCATAAATAAATCACAGCGGTTGTGTGTCATAATCTAGACAAGCTTGTATAACAAATTCAGTGCTCAATATTCCTTAAGGTGATGAGTTGATGGCATTTCAAAAAATCTGAAACTGGCCATTTGTAATTTATTAATAACCTATTTTATGATATTTTTATGCTTTGAATAAAATTTTTTATTTTTATTTTCTTTTATCTCTATTGAAACTACGAACCTCTTTTTTGTTCCAATAGTAGCAATAAATCTCAGTATCAAATCAAAACAAAGATTTCTATAAACCCAAGATGAAGTGGTGTTATCAAAATGGGAATAGTTAAAAATAAATATGACGATAAAAAATCTAGAAATTGACGTGTCATGAATATACATAATAGACTAATAAAACTTCAAGGAGCCGAATGGTCAACATACATACACATGTAAACAATGTACCTACTTAAGTACGTTAGATTTTTTGAGAAAAATTATTTAATTTATTTGATTTTTGCCTACCCAATTTGTATAAAATTACATGAAATTGCAATATACAGTCCCAGTGATGGACTAATCCATTTTCGAGGCTCGGGAAAAAAAAAATACCTGCAAAATTTAAAAAGACAAAAAATTATCTGCCACTTCTAGTACGTTTGGCAATATTTTCCTTATTGATAATAATAATAATAATCAAGTTAATGTTAACTATTATTACTTATAATTTTTTGTCACTTTTCGGATACTTTCAAAATTCCATCGGTATAGAACTTTTGTAGTCTATCGGTGAAAAACTTGGGTGAACTTAACAGCTCTTTGCATCGGTAATTTTTTATTCCTAACAAGCTTTTCAAATAGTGCAAACACCGGGGTACATAGTGGATGAATAAACACTTCCCAACCCAGTTCCGTCAAATACGTTAAAGATGTGTGTTATGATAAAGCACTTGCTTTTTCTTGATTTTTTCGTATAAACGATCGTATTGTGTGTAGTAGAGGACCGAATTAACCGTTGAATCAGGCTGAAGCAGCACGCAGTAGACAATTCAATCCTATCCAACACTCAAAATAATCGTGTTTGCCGTCAATCCACGATTTGGCGTTGTTTTGGTGGGTCACAAGTTAGTGACGGAAGACATATATACTTTGTCACATATTTTATAAAAAGAAAACCACTGGACCTTTAGCTTGGAATGATACACTGACTAAAACTAACCTCAAAGGCTAACCTCATTGTATGATATTCAACTAAAAGGTTCAGCCAACATATCCAGTCAATATTTTCAGTTTAAGGTTTTTCGAAGATTAGCAGATACCAACGGTGGTTGATAACCTTAATAAATAAAGAGAAAAGTTGATTCTACAAAAAATACGTCATCGTGTTATCGGATAAAGCAGTAAATCTGCCTCTCTCTAAGATGAAGTAGCATATATTACTGATTTCTATTATAACTGATTTCTATTTAGGTTTCATCCTATTCAAGATAATAAAAGTTATTAAAATTTATAAAATTCATACTACACTTTTGAGAAGTGTTGCCGTATATCTTTTTATTTTACTTCACTATAATATTGTTTTAAAAATGAATTGTTGTTTAAAGATACGATCCATGCGTCTTTAAAATTAACATTTCAAAGTTTTTCAATTTTAATCAAATACTACAAAATCATGCTACTTAGTCCAACAGTGACTGAAAGATCACCTTTTCTTTATAGCAAATGTGACCCATTTCTTTTATAACCCAAGTTATAGGAACAAAAGTGACTCTTATATTCTCCTTGTGCCATTTTAAGCACTCTGTAAATATTTTTACTGAACATTTAAATATGAATATGAGTAAATATTTTATATGTGCTGGCTAGAAATAACTCTGCATGATGATTTACCAAATTTTACTCCAAGAAAAAATAGTATTAGTTGACAAATTAATAGCATTGTGTGATATTTTTCTTATTCTTGTTTGGCACTACAGTCCAGTGTGAGCCTTGGTCTCCTTCTTTTTTAAAGGAGGTTACGTGGTTGGTGTTTTTTTCGTTACGATGCTGCTGACCTTATGACCAACCATCAACCTGGAGGACCATGCCCAGTGCAAATATGAGGATAAAATTGGTATTTGGTAGCTAGAGAGTTCCCCTCTGCTAGGTGTTTTCAGGTTATACAGCCTGAGTTCGGTCGCCAGAGCCCCGTATGCAAGAACAGGATGCAACACGTTTAGGTGAGGTTGGTAGTTGAAAATTCTTCTTCGATCCGGATTTGAAGGAGCGACCTATGGATATCCGTATTAATTTCGCATTCTACAGTCCACCACTCAACTGAGCTATCGAAGGCATGTGCAACAAAAATAGTCTTTAAATATTTTTAGATTTTTATCTAGATATCCGTTTTTCTCCTAGATATCTGGATCTAGGATCTGGAAATAACGGGTTAAAATTTAAATTTTCAGATTTTAAAGGGAAAATAAAAAACTCTTTCCTTAAACATTAGACTCCTCAAACTCTTCTTCTTATCTCTCAAAGAGGGATTTTTCTTAAAATTAACCTATGGAAAAAAAAGTTTTAAATATATTTATAAAATCTTTTTATTTGAAAAGTATTCGGGAACTTCGAACTGTAGCGCAAAATTTTTTAACTATTCATTTGTAGTAAGTTTACCAAGGGCATAAAATTCCTATCTATTAACATAAAAAAGTTTTATTAATATTTTTAAAACCCAACTTTTTTGATTTTAAACGTTTTTTGACAAAGAGAGTTAGGTATCTAGGCGCAAAAAATAGGTTTCAGATTTGGTGCTCAACACCTCCAAATTAAACTTATATCATTATTTTTCAAAGATGGCTTGATAAATTAAGACTTTGTAATATATTTAATGACTTTCTGTATTTATTGTATTTAGCGAAGTAAACATTTGCATTAAAAAGTAAGAATTATTTAATAAAATTGTAATTTTTAATTTGTTGTTTGTTAATGATTTTTTAAAAATCCTCTGTTAGTGTAGTTATATTAAAAATATCTGGCTGGCCAGTGTGAGTTATATTTTGTTTACAAAAATAAGAGTTATTCTTGATTTTTATATTTATAACGCAAAAATAACAATTATTTGTGCGTTTTAAAATAAAAAGCAGTGTGTAAGTGTAATAATTATTTTTGAGGAATATAATATAAAGCAAATTTTATTATTATTTTTTAAGTTTTATTTTAATATGTGAATGATAACAGTTATAAAATGATTTTTATTTTTTAAATGATAACTGTTATGGTCCTGAAAACTATTATGCTGAAAACTATTATTGAAGAACCCTTGCCCAGTGTAGCACATACAAGTCAAACGAAGTAGTTGCGCTAAAACACTGCAATTCTTACAATCACTTTTCAAACACAACAACCTCAGTGCGAAGAACAGAATGCGTATAGCAAAGCTGCCGACTCTACTATCCAGAAGCTACAAGTTGCTCAAAGTCAGGCTCTCCGAAGACTCTTCAAAGTGCCATGGTACATCCGCACGAATGACATGCTAAGAGACCTTAGAATAGATCCAGTTAAAAAATACATAAAGGACAGAGCTTGAAGCTATATGCGAAAACCGAAAAGCTGTTCTACTTAGCACTATCTAATCTCAAAGTAATCGCTGTCCGGACGTGACGGTACGCAGATCTTAGATTAGTCATTGAATAATCACGAAGCTTATGAGGAATACACAAATTAGACGGTGAGTTGGGTGGGACTCTGCAAAAACAACCAAGCTATCGAAGAGTAAAAGTGCCCGAATGCACTAAATCGGAAAAGGCTCAACATTAGACATTAGACTATTAAATTATTTGGGGATAGAATTTTTTTTTTGGAAAAAAATACATTTTGTTTGGATTTTTGGACTTTCAGAAAGTAGCTAACTCTCTGAATTTGTCATATTTGCATACCATATTTATAAGTAAACAAATAATATAAGACATATCCCACTCATTTATTATAAGCTTTTAATTTAGTTGAAAAATTTATTATAAAAATTAAATAGTTTTTTTTAAGTATAAATTCAGAAATTGTCCAATGTTTATATGAAGAAATGCAATCTAATTGAACTGCTTTCGAATAAGGAGCAGTAACTGTGTACATCGGACACTTACCAAATATCATCAGATTTATTTTATTTAAGTTATTTAAGCATATCGATGCATATATAAATATGATATAAGTATACGACTGAGTTGATACCCACCTTATTCCACCTACATTAAGTATAATCCGATTTTCACCGTCCATCTTGCATGGAATAGTTGCGCCAGCGGCATTCCAATCAATCAATTTAGCAAATAATCAAATTTTATTTAATGCAATTTAGGCTCTTAAGTTTAGTTTTTGTTGTCAGTGAGAATAGGAAGTGATTTCGTTGCAATGGCTGCTGTCTCTTGTCTCGGTTAAATATTTACTTTTGTGGGTTTAGTTTTTGCTCTTTGCTGCTGCAAACGACATTTTCGCTGTCAGATTTGTGTCAACTGTAAATGAAAAATGAAAAATATCAATTTAGACGGAGATTTTCCTTAGTATGACAATTTTTGTGTTCTAGAATTTTTATAAATTTAATTGAAAACAATTGTTCTCAATTTACTGCAGTTCAGAAGCATTCGCTTAATGCAATTATACAATAAATTGTAATAAATTGTAATAAATTGCAATAAATGTACAATAAAATATTCTTAGCTACCAGCTACCAGTTGATAGCAAGCATTTTTCCAAATGAAACACTGAAACACTATAATTAAGTTTAAAAAAATTAAGTTTAAATTAAAAGTGAAAAAACTATTTTCCCATATAAAGTGGAGCACTGGCACTGGAGATATGTGCAATGGACTGACTTTATTTGATCAAATTGCAAAGCGTCCAATTTTCACTTATAATAAAAACTGAAAGGATATTGTTGTTAAGGACATCCTGTCGGAGTGTGTTTCCAACACATCAGCACTAGAATTGCATGTCCTTACCATCACACCTGTCTCACGTCCTAATTTCTGTTTACACACTTGTGGCATTCTGCCGACTGTTTTGAAGTGCCGTAAACGAGCAATTGAGCACAATTTCAGTCATGCTGATTCGTTCGGGGCACAAGTTGGGAAACAAAATGAAGGAAAATAAAATTAATTTAAAATTTGTAAATCTCATTAAAAATAATAAAATCTTTATTTTGTGTATTTAAATGAGAATATAATATGATACTTTAATCAAATGAATATGCATGATTATCTCTTTGCTACAAAAAGTTTGTACCTAAAAACGCTCGTTAACACTAAATCTAGTAAAAATAGAATTAACGAGTAGTTCATCTTTTATACCATAGAATATTTGAGGGGACAATGGAAATTTTTTTACCAAATGTTAGTCAAGAGCGTGCAAAAGTGATTCCATGACAGAGCCCTGAAATTGTTTAATTCTGTATAACTGTATTTTGTATGTAACTAACAACATTTGCTAACACTACAACTAGTAAAAATAGAATTAACGAGTAGTTCATCTTTTATACCATGGAATATTTGAGGGGACAATGGAATTTTTTTTACCAAATGATAGTCAAGAGCGTGCAAAAGTGATTCCATGACAGAGCCCTGAAATTGTTTAATTCTGTATAACTGTATTCTGTATGTAGCTAACAATATTTGCTAACACTACAACTAGTAAAAATAGAACTAACGAGTAGTTTATCTTTGATATCATAAACTATATTAGGGGTCAATGGAAATGTTGTTACCAAAGAATAACCTAGAGCGTGCAGAAGTGATTCCATGGTAGAGCCCCGGAATTGTTTGATTTTATGAAACTGTATTTTGTATATAACAAATAACGCTTATTAACACTGCAACTAGTAAAAATAAAACTAACGAACAGTTTACTTTTGTTGCTATAAAATATTTGAGAGCACAAGGGAAATTTTGTTAACAAATGATAGCCTAGAGTGTGAAAAAGTGCATGAAAGACAGAGCCCTAGAGTATGTTTAATTTGTGAAAGCTGACACTAATTTAAAATAGCACTCTCTTAAAACAAATGCTATATATATTCCGTCAGGAAGCTATCCCCAGCGGTAAAGTATACTTCTGTAAAATCACCTGAATTACCATAATACAATGAAACACTTGTTATAGTGGATCTGCAAAATGATCACAGACACCATAGAGTAAAAGTGCTTTAGGCACTAACTCGTTTTTCCACAAATAAAGAAGGGAAGCATTTTTTACAAATATTTTTAATTCTACAACCAGATTGGCTAGCTAAATAACATTTAAGACTTGCCTTCACATATAATATGTAAGCAAAATTCACATAAGGCGTTTATTGTGAAGTACATCAACTGTGGAAAATCATACATTGGTCCAAGAAATGAAAAAATATCATATAAAAAAGTGTAGTATTTTAAATATTAATTTTGACACTTTACTGACAGAGATTGTCCTAGAGACTTCTGGTGGATTTCTATGATAAGTTGTAGCTTCTAGCAAATCAAAAGTAAGTACTTTGCTTTTTACTCTAATTGGTATAGCATTCTACGTAATTGTGTTTTTAAGCTTTTTCTTAAAACTCGTATCTTATAAAATATTTTGGCCTATTTTGGACTATATAATGTTACAAAATGAATTTGTTTATCACATTAAAAAAGGATTTGGTTTTTTGTCACTCTTTTCATGATTGTATTTCATTACATATTGTCATATCTTTGGCCAATAGAAGATTAAAAGTTTTTAGACTCTTTTCTACCGACCGAACCTGAGCTGCTTTTCTGTAAAATTAATTACATAGTCAAGTCTTTAAACTTATCAGCTGGGCTTATTTTCAAGTAAATGTAAAAGTCGCGTCTTTTAGCGTTTTTTGTATGCTGACCACTGCAGATATTCTGGGATCTTTCTGATCTACCTAAAAACAATGCTAATAAGTGATTTTACATTGGGCCAAAATTTCCGCTCAAGTGAGTTCTGGTCTATAAGACCGAAACTTTTACGTAACCAAATCTAAGTGACGAATTTAATATTAAATTATTATTGACGGCGTGTGCCTTTAACCACAATAAGTACCCTCTGGATCTGAGGCGAAAGACTTACGCCATTTCTTACACCATCAAAGACTAATAGAGACAATATTCTAAAGTTCATCAATAAAGAAGACAATATACGCCACTGTCTGCTTCACTGGGATACAATAAAGTAGATACAAAGATGTTTTCGTGTTTTACAGAATTCGCCTCTCGAAGAAAGTTACTGGGAGGGCAAAAGCTACACTACACGGGGACAAGCTAAACATTAATTTCTAACAAATTTTAATTTGGTATCTTGTTCGTTACTCTAATTCAGTAAAAATTATGAAGATTGCTGCAGGGTACTATGTAAAATGAGTCAAAATGCTTCTTATGTTTATATATATATATATATATATATAATATTATATAATATATATATATATATATATATATATATATATATCTCAAAGCCTGCTATATACAGATTTGAATAATTTGCTTCTATATATTAAGATCTGTCATTTTTTGAAGTAAAATTAATAAATAATTTTCTTTTGCTATATATAGTTTCAACTAAAAATCATAGAATTAAAGTAGCTATGGCAAAACGTAAAACTGGACGGATAATTGTGTTCATAGTCTATATCTTAACACTGATACTGATGATAGCTGATCTCGTACTTAATTTTTCTTGTATATTTCTGTTTTACATAATGACAAATGGTAATTTGGTCTCTTTAAATAGACATTAACACACATTACATATTGCTTCTTTCAGCTATCTTGTTATTTCGTGTGTTCGGAGTTCATTGGTTCACAAGATTTTTACACGTTCTATTATTTATAATTTTGATAGGTGCATTGATATACTTTACGATATCCGAGAACCTGGTGTTTGCGTTCTTGGCAATCATCGTGATCATTCAGGTAAGAACATGCAAAAAAATGTTTATCCCAAGAAGTAAATATATGTTGTTACTTTTAGTTTCTTTTTTCTCTACACTTTGTACTGTTCCGTCCCGGTTTTACCATAGAACAGAGAGCTAGGCGCGTTGGGTGGCATGCATTTTTGGGTCTTTTGGTAGTAGTATCGTTCTTTTGGATTATATCCATTCTACTACCAAATAATTGGGGTGTTTTTCTTGAAATGATTTATGTTTTGCTATTTCTTTTCATTGTTATGACACCGCAATTTATGTCGGCGAAGCAAGCGGTGGTATTAGCAATCAAGGATCGCAGTCGTCGTTCAACCAGTGCAAGCGTACACAGCGTAGATGGGCGAACCAGTCGCGGATCGCAAAGAGGTGACAGTCGCAGATCTAGCAAGGTATAACTGATTTAATTTTTTATTGAAACTATTCTTACTTAACTACACTAAAAGTTTCTATTATACACCAAGTAGAGTAAGTATTGAACACTAACAACACTATCATTCTACACTATGAAACCTGATTATATAGAACTTTCTTTAATTTGGAAACATATTGTATATTAATTATTCTTTAATAATTTCAGGAGTGCCGCAGGTGAGATTCTAATTCCATTCCAATGTGATTTGAAGAATCTTACCCAGTTTTAACTACAAATGAAAATGGTTTATTTAATCTTATCACAGTATTCGCACAACAAGGCTATTTAAAGTCATAACTCTCATCATATTTATTTGTTATTAAAGTGAAATATTAATAAGAACAAATTGAAATAAATGCAAAAATTTATATTCAATAAAATATTATTGGACTTACACATATTTTACACATATTATTTACACATATTTTATACAAAAAGGCATAATATAATCCATATGTGGTAGGATATTTTTTGCTAATATGCGCAACAGGTATTATAAAGATCTAAAAAAGGGTGCCGAGATATATATAGTTAATTCTAACTTACTAATTACTAATTTTTCTTTATTGTGCAGACAGCAGTCAATTCTTCTTGCTATTTCAAAAGTCGAAGTAGTTAGCTAATACATCTATTCAAGCTGCAATTCAGATCCTGCATTATTATTACCCTACATTTACCTTTTGAAATAAAACAGAGGAAACATGACTACTTAGAGAGAATGGTAAGGAACAACGTTTTTCTAATCTAGGAGTCGGGACATCGAACTATTAAATGATATATAAGCGCTGATGAATTAAGAAAAGACAACCTACCATACAAAATGCTCTTATAGAACCGGTACTTACATAAAGCATAAAGTATTTCCAAATAACATGTTATGACTGAATAAGTCTTATAATTTGTAGTACAAATCAAATATTATAGCCTGAATACTATCTTAAGAAAACTTTGGGTAGTTCTTACAATATTTATTGTCACAGTTACGACAACCCACATCAGCTTGTTTTATTTCCTTTGTGATGCTTTTTGGAAGCAGAGAATAGCTATAACAGGTAAATCATACTTCAATTATTCCGAGGAGTCTATCGGATAATATTCAAAAGTTTTAAAACCTCATTGGATTGGATATAACCTAACAAGAATATTTTTGGTGTCTATGGTAGAAAAGAATTGGCTTGAAGTTATGTTTTATTATATTCTATTCTATTTTAATCTATTCTATTTTTTTCTTTTGTCTTTATGTAATATCTTGCATCCAAATTTAGTCTTATTTGAATGATGGTTAAATAATGGATGAGGAATCTGTATTACACGTACCAATAAAACCAGCAGACTAGAAAGAAATTGATATAATAGATAGGCGACATAAATACTGTGAAGAAACTATGAAGACAGAAGATATTGACTGTTATTTTTGTTCACTGACTTTCAATGCTTGCAGGGTTTCATTTTGAGGTGTTCTTTCACTTGTGACTACTCTAAAGATTTGTACTTGATTGCTAATTTCGAATTAATAGCTTTTTTTACCAGTTCAGCTGACGGTATTGATACTATATTTTTATTATAGGTTTTTAATGTTTGTAGTTTTCCGACAACCCATCGACTTATTTGTTATTTTTGCAAAAATAAATCATTAATGGATATGTTTAAAAAAAGCATATATAATTACTTCTTGTGACAAACCTCTAACGAAAACTGGATGCAGAAATAAAAATAGATATTAACAGGGCACTGGCTTCTAACCGAATGAAGCATTGCTACATAGTTTGTGCTAAAAACTGGTGCTAACTGAACAATAAAAAACATTTAGTTTTTTTCGATAAAGGCCATCATGTCTTCCATTGAGGATTTTCTTATAGTAGAAGGAGATAAAAATAATCGCAAGAAATATGACTACAGGTCTCAACTGCTTTTGAGCAAAGTCAACATTCTGTCTTTTTGGTAAAACTCATCTTGTTAAATTGGTAAGTTAGGCTATATTGTTTCATCAGATAACCTGCCAACAGCCACAGCTCTATTCTATTAAGTAATCTCATACTGTTGTCAGGCGTTTTAACATAATGGTTATCTGGAGAGTTGCCTTAATCGCATTTTCTCTCGGTTTTATTCAAGTTTTATATTATACAACTTAGAAACTAACATATTTTACAGGTAAATGCAAACCATCAACCTTCTGAATTGAATTATTGAACCAATCTTAATAAATAAGGCTGATATGTCAACACAAACCTAATGCGTGAACTGTACAGGAATATTGATGAATTCATCATTGCGGTAAATAAATTATTAACTAATCAATAGGACCATAGGGCTTACAGAACGTGTGCCTACTGAAGTAATTACGCTTGCATTAATTCTTTAATATTAGCACTTTTCAACGGAATTTAAATCTATTAATAACTTTCTTTATTTCTGTCAGGACTACAGCTAAAGCAGCTCTAATGTCTACGAAAGCATTTCTTTGCTGACCGCGCAGAATTTGCTAAAGTAGTGGACTTATCGAATTTCCTTAACTTCATCGGGAAAACAAAAGTGTTTAAGATGGATTTTAATGACAATTTCAGAAACATTGGCTAATAAAATTCACCTCTTCCTGGCAATTTTAAGGAATTATACAATGGTCGATTTATATACATAGAAGACAATATATTATTTGTATAGCAACTGTATTGGGTAATGCTTTGTTCTGTTGTGATTTTAGGTGGGCAATGTTATACGTATTGTTTGTCATATGTGCTCATTGCTTACCACATATGATTCACATTTTCTAAGTATTTTTTATTTATAGTTCGTTTAATTCAGATCAATAAATATCCAAAAATTGAAAATTGATTCAATATAGGTTTACTCTCGATCTGTCACATTTTGTTGTCCAATCGAACATTTTTAGAGTAGTCTAACATTTTTCTAGACGCCATATTATTCACAAATACATATACCGAATCAGATCACAGTTTATTTGTCAAAACATATAAAGCAGCTGTTAATTTCAGGATAATTTTGCTACCCTGGTAAAATCTCTAGAGTGGTATAAATTAATCTTGAGTGTTATAAATAAATCTCGGTTGTTTACAGATTTACCAATCGAAAATGAAAATTGCACTAAAAGTACATTAAAAAAGCATCTCGATTGAAAAAATTACCCCAGACTTACCAATCGATAAAATATTTGTTGAATTTGTTTTGAGGGGGTGCAATTCTAAATTAGTGTAAGCATCTATAGAATTATATATTATAAACCTTGTCCTAAACAATTTTCCTTAGATTTCACACAGTCAAGAAATTTATTGATTTTATTAATTAGACTTAAGTTTGTCACTTTACTTTAGTGCCGGGTCGATAGCATTCGCGTTTTCTAGGTTTCTTGTACTCTTGGTGAATGTGGGTGAGGTACAAGATTTGAAAAGAAAACTAATTAATTTTTGTTTCAACTATTTCTTATTCTTAAATTAAGGAGGAATTGAACCCTTTTTGCTTATATTAATGGTCGTATATAATATATTTAACTATTATCCAGGTTTTTTGTACTATTGATGATTATGTGTGAGTAATAAAATCTAAAGGAGAGAACTAACAGATATTTGGTTTCTTGTAAGTCTTTCTTGGTAAGTCCTTTTCTTATTTCTTGATTGTTTCTTGATATTTAGATATAATATATTTAAATGTTATCTATATTCTTTGTACTATTGATGATTGTGGGTGAGTGACAAACTCTAAAGAAAAAACCTAACCGACATTTGTTTTACCATAGTTAGTCGTTTCGTTATTTCTAAATAAGAGACAAAGGGAAACACTTTTGTTTATATGTATGGTCAGATATAATATATTTATCTTATCTATAAGCTATCTTAGTTTTTACTGTTATTGATGACTCTGGATCAGTGACAACATTTAAAGAAGAGAATTAACCGATATTTTTATTAATCAATCGTTTTTTATATTTCTAGATAAAATACAAATTGAAGCCTTTTTACATGTATTTATTGTTGGACATAAAATAACTTTTCAGTCTATAGTCTAATTCTTCTTAAGTCTAGTCTACATTCTAATTCTTGCAGTTGTTACATATACTAACAATGTTTTACTCTAAAACAAAGTATAAAGCAAAAATAATTTATTAACCAACGTTTAAAGCTGTAAAATTTGAGATTTAAACGATATTCGTTAAATATTAAATGACAGAATTTGACTCATATAATCGAATAGCAAAAATCTAAAATGCCAAATTAATAGAGCGAATATAATTTCTCCTACAAATTATGTTTCATTGTGGCACAGAGATATATGAACATTACATTACATTATCTATTTCATTATTTTACTTAAACACAGAAATCTTAATTTTCCTTACAATATTCTCTATAATAATTTAAGCTGACTATGAAGAAAATTAATAATCTTTAGGATAACTACAAATTTTCTTGTAAAATTCTTACCTTCATATATATTTTATTTATTGTACATTGTTAAATGGTACACTCCAATGAAGTCGGATGAACTTTATGCATTAACATGCCAGGATTTTCATATCCTGTGGTATCCTTTTTTGTATAGATGTGTGTATATAGAAAATCTTGTTTATCTCACGCGCTTTGTTTACAACATTTACACACACAACTCGGAACACGAAAAATTCATAACTTTAATGCAAAAATATTTGCCTTCGGTCCGTCGGTCCGTTGGTCCTTCACTCCTCACTCTACGAGCACAGGTTTTTATTTATACACATAGTGGACCACATATTTCGTAATACACAATAATGATTATTATAGTTAAAACTTTCTATTGAACGTGGCTTTAATTTAATAATACGAGCTAGCAAACGGTATTGTGTTCCAACTTATTGGTTTCATCGGTGACAGACAATACGTTAAAAATTTTGCACCAAGTAGGTTCTTTATAGATATATGCACTCACAAACGCCTGTCACATGCAACATTGTGTTCGCACTTTACGGTAATAAACGTAATGTTCACCAGTCGGAACAATTAATGACTGCCCGGCCATACTACGAATTCTACTCCAGCAACTGGAAACGGATACAAATACGTGGCATTGCCAGCACTAGTGTGCGAACGTTGTGCGGTGGTACATTCTTTTTCATAAAGTTTTATCATAAATGTGCACAATTCTGTTTGAGTTCCTCACTTAGAAAAAAAATCAAATTTCTGTTATCATAATTAAGGAAACAAAGCCACAAAAGCACCAGGAGCAATCTTTTAACCAACCATAAAGTATCAGCAAGCACTCATCTACGTGTGTTCTCACATCAGTACACCCGAATATTCCTACTAAACTTGCTGTTACTCACACATTCAGCAACGAACTGATGCTGTTTGCACTGCAGCATCCGCACAACACACCGAAATAAAGGACGAGAGCTTTCACTGAGAGCTTTTCACCGTGGTGAGTTCTGCTTGTGGTTTTAGGGTGGTCAGGTGTTAATAGCGTTGGCTTTTATTGCCTTTATGCTGCATACAAAAATTTCAAAATTTGCTTCATTTATTCAAATATTTTCCACATCAAATAGGAGTATTTGATGTGTATAATCAAGGCATTATCAGGATTTCCTACGAACACTACAGGATACTAAGCGGCAACATCTTGTTTAGGGGGTGGTACAGTATTTTTACTTAAAATGTACTACTAGTAACAAGTGGTCGCTACCGCACCCCTCGACATTCCACCAACCTTTGTATTATACCTACATATGATAAAGAAAACAATTTGGGTGCCTTTGTTTGAGCTGCCAAACTAATTTTCTTTACAGAGAAAGCAGCCTCATCATCCTCCTAATTAATAAGATGCCTTGAAAGAATGTATTTTCTACAACTTTTCCAACAAAGAAGTATTTTCACTGAATTAAGAGCTTATTTTTGTAATAAACTTAAGTCAATTGAAAATTTAAAAAAAATATGACCAATTATTCTATTTGAGTCGTTAATAAGACATCACTAAAAACAATTACGCGAAGGAATAGCTAGCTAAGAAGTTGACTAGTTGAGAATAGTATCGCAGTATCTCTATTACAATAAAATAATATTCTACCATAAGTGTGAATAGAATATGTATATTATTTCTTTTAATTAACCATTTATTTTTTTTTTTTTTGCATCAGTTAGAAAGCTATAGTGTGAGACTCTAACGCACTAAAACCAACTCTCAGGAATCATTGGAGAAGAATTTCACCGCAGTGTGCAACATTCATTCCAATAATTAAAAGAGAAAGTTCAGATCATTTGTTGTAGATTTTACAAAGCAATAAATTACAAAGTAAGAGTAAAATCCAGAATTAGTTCCAATAGAACACATTAGATATGTACAACCATTGTCCATTCATTCATTCACACATTGGTGGCCAGATATAAATAAGTGTTCTAAAACTAAAAAACTTAACAGAATTGAGAAGAGAGCATATGTTGTCATAACTAGAACCCTTAAAATGGCCTCTTCGGATAACCTAAACGTAATGCTTCATTTGGTAATGGTAATGGCAATGGTAATGGTGTTTAGGGGTTTCGGGTTAGGCTAAGGGCCCTATGCTTTGCGACCAGTTTGATCTATTGTATACCCCCTTTGTATTTAGATATTTAATATCTCGAGGAATCGAACCAGCTCCTTCGGAGGGAGTTTTTAAAAGTCTTCTTCCTCTAATTGGTATGCACGTAAAATTTTGTTTCTTCTGTGGCCTAGTGCATCACAGCTGGTGATTAGATGTTCCATAGATTCTTCCTTATCACAGCAGAATCTGCAAATATTAGTGTCGGATAACCTATTTTGAGTAGGTGTTCGTTTCATGCGGCGTGGCCTGTTAGTGCACCAGAGAATGACTTTTATCTCGTCATATTTAGGTTGAGAGCGGTGTTTGGTCTTTTGACATCAAAATTTAAGATTTTTTTGGAATGATATAGGCCGTCTATAACATTCCAGTATTCATTGATACTTTGTTGAATCCATTTTTTGGTCAACGGTTTTATGTTCGTTTTATTGAAGCCAAAGAAAGGAGTTGGACCAGTGCTTCATTTAGTACCCATTAATTAAAAATATCACTTGCAAGAGCATTATCACATTGAAAAAGCTGGCTTATAGACTCAGTTCAAAATTTTCTGATGTCATATAACTTAACATTGGATTACCTGATGCCATACTTACGATTTGAAAGCAATTTTTAAACTTATACTTTAAAAAAAAATATAAAAAAATACTTTTATGCAAACTATAGTGTAGAATTTTCAGAGATAGATTAATGTATTGTGGGATAGTAGTGCACTATTTGTAGACATTAACTACACATTTAGGCTACTTAATGAAGTAACGGCAAAAAATCGCTAATTGTGATCAGCGGTAATATGTCTGTTGAGCTGCCACTGCAACCAACCATCCAAGACTTCATCATATTTGTAAATCATATTTACTATTGAATAAAACACAATTAAATTATAAAGAAATTTTTCAAATTTTTTGGTGAGAATAACAATGCAGTTGATATATAATGTGTCTCGTGGAATCAACAAACTCGTTTTGTCGTCCAATTACGATAAAGCCTCAACAAATAATAACGAGTAAGAAAAATTGAATGCAAAATCTTTGGTTCCATCTACGTTAATGGTGAAAATCATTCTCGATGGAAGGACGACGTTAATACAATCAAGCGAATAAAGATCCAGCGGCTGAGACGACACGTATCGTTCCGCCGCTTTAATCGATATAGAAGTTGATACTGCAACTAAAAAAAAACAATCCAAATGGTATCCATAAGAGGGAAAGCGCAGCCCTCTTTAGAGTGGTAGAATAAAATATTAGGTGATCTGTCAAAGTTTGATATTTCAAACTGGTGGCATCTCGCAAAACATAGAGACGATAGGCAAAGGAAGTTAGACGTAGCCAAGACCGATATACGATTTTAATCGTCATATAGCAAACACCACAAATTATTCGACCCCAACAATACATATGTTATATAACGAGACATTTTTGCAGGGATGGCATAACAAATCTTAGAATTATGGTGTACCAATATGTCTTCCAAATAATATATTTTAATTGTACAAAAAGGTTCTGTGCCTTCCTGTCCGCTTGGCTTGAAAGTGCCTTCTTAGCAGTTTATTTTAGTTTGACAGTTAATAAATCAGTTGATTATTGATGAATATTTGATTGCGATAAGTGTTTTATGGTAAAGGTTAAAGTAAACCAAAGATAACACAAATTCAAAAATAATTGATAATTATTTATGATTATGTCATGATAAAGAGAATAACGTGGCAGAGACTGATGAAATAAAGACGATTTGTTCTTTCGTTGTAGAAATTTGGATGAAAAAACCAGATGAAATTATTTACAATACTCAAAAAGATCTGTAGAAGAGCAGTTCTGACATCACCAAGCTCGAGTTTGAATAGTTTGTATATCTAAACTTGATAAAAAAAACATACTTCATATTTGGGGAACTTCATATATGAAACGATAATTTTGTGAATCAAAAATCTGTCTGAATATCATTGTTATAATGGAACGAACTTAAGTCACTTTTGAAGATTATGGCAATACATGACAAAATATAGATTACACTGAATAATACGAAAAGGTCAAAAAAAGTCAAAAAAAGAACTCCACAATAGTTGACATAATCGCTATTGATGATAAATTAAGTAATATTGTATGTTCGATGGGATATCAAGAAAAATATTTATTATAAACTAGTACTACCATCTGAACAATTGAAATCGGAAGCAATCAAAATCGTCATAACAATGTTTCATTATATAGTCTTTTGTTAACGTTAATCGGGATATTAAAGATAGTAGTTAAGTTTAATGAGACTGTCACCAGTCAATCAGTAAGATATCATAACAGATTCTATAAAATGGCATCACAATATTCCTGGTATCAATTCTGTGGATGCGCATTCTTTTGAACACACCAAATATAAAGGCATGACCTTTACATCGTAAAAGTTAAAAAAATATTTATATAAATTGACTAGAAATTCGACAAAGATTGGTAAAGAGTTTCTTCTTAGTTATAATTTACAATAATTACAATCTTGAGTACAAGGTGCAAGGTGGCCTAACAGAACTATAATTAAGTTCAAATTTGTACAACTTGCAAACTGGTGGCAACACTATGTTTATATTTCGCCTTACAGTTGATTTTTTTATTTATAAGCGCCCATAAGTACTTTTATCTGAATTTTCAATTAATCAACAATTAATTTTTTCACCTGTAATGGAATTGAAATATGTAATGGTGTGCTATTGCTAAAACCCCCGAAGAACTATAGAACATTCTAATAATCCTATTAAAGTTACAAAATGCAATAATGGGGTTAAAAATAATTTAATTTGTGGCAGATATATTTCTAAAAATTAATGTTATATAAAATTCACATAGTAATAGAATAAAAATGCCTGGAAACAAACTCAATGTAAAACTATGTACAAACCAAAATAAAAAAAACAATTCCAATGTTCAAGAGTTAGATTTAAAGACAATAAGAGAAGTACCATAGTTACATTGTTTGTGGCTTCAGTTTTGCTCTAGACAAACATGAGGTTCTGTTAATGGATAAGATTAGTCACAAGGCGCAATAACTTCTGTGCAGTTGAGAGCAATCATAGCGCAAAAGATCTGTTAGTCGTAAAGCTATGCATTTCGTTCATTTATCTATTTTTTATTATTATTTAAAATAGGCTATTTGTGCACCCCGACCTAAAAGATCTATTGTGCGCCTATAGGCCCAACTAGGACAATTTTAGACTATTTATAAATCTTATAATTGCAGTGGGCTTAATTTTACCTATTTGATTTGGGACCAGGATCCCGCTACTAATCGAGTCTACGTCTTGCCACCGCTGGGCAGTTGCATAGAACATGTTCTGATGTTTCCTTCTCCTCATGACAGAGTCGACAGGAGTCACTTTCTACCGCATCTATAGTCTTCATGTGGTAATTAAGTCTACAGTGCTCTGCAAGAAGTTCAGTGCAGATTTTAATGTCGTTTCCACTAAGGCCAAGGATAGCATCAACTTTGATGTGTTCAGGATCAATGAATCTTCTTGACTGTCGCATGTTTGGGCTCTTCAGTGTTCAAGTAGATGTTGTTTCTCCCGTTTATATTGATAAGTTATTTGTGAAGCTATTTGTTACCCCGCAGAAGAGCTCTGCACCAATGAAAGGAGTACATGCACCCTTCTTTGCTAATATGTCTGCTATTTCATTGCCCTCATGCCACTCGTGTCCCGGTACCCACATAAGAGTAACATAGTTC